TTCATTTTTAACCTTCAATACATATTTTAAGTCCTATTGAACCTAGATCAATACTCTTATTTCCTTTTTGCAGATATATAAGTTCGCTGTCCCTGCACCAGAAGTCAAGGAAGTTGCATCTCCCACCATCACAAATATACAGGAGGCCTATTAAATTCTTTAATTTAAATTTTTTTCTCGTTAGGAAAGGAACTGAGTAATGCTTTTAAAGCTGATGGAGAGGCAAATCAACTCCCAACCATTGCTATTTGTATCATCTCATGATATATTTGGAGATGCTTAGGTGCGTAATTTTGTCGCATTGCATTTCATTACATAAATTGAACCAACTTCCGTGACCTATTTGGAAATTTGACGAGTAACTAACTGTATTTCATTTCACTAATACTAAGACTTAGTTTGGAAGTACTAAACTATAGCAGTAAGTTTTTTGGTCCTTTAATATCCAAAAGGACAATGATTGGTGTATATCCGGATCCAACACTCGGGTGTGCACCCCCATAAAATAAAAAAATTGGACCGGGTGATGGAAATTTTTTTTTTATATGATGTGTGCACACCCGAGTGTTGGATCCGGGTGTGCACACGTCGTTTTCCTATCCAAAAAGGACCATGATTCATGCATCCCCAGTTCAACACCGGGAGGTGCATACTCTACATAATCAAATAATTTTAAAAATAAAATTATAAATTTACTCTCTCACTAAACCATTTTCCAAATGACAATACGAACAAATCTCAGCAAAACTCAATCAAGAATTTAGCACCAAATCCATCCTTACCTTAATCATCTGCAAGACAATTGGCAGCTGTATCAGGTTCCCACCTTCTTCCTCTTTTTTTTTTTTTTGTTCATTTTTTCTCTCGGATTCTGCTGCAGAACCCAACAAAACCCACATCTAGGTTCTACTGTAGAACCCGATCTGGGTTCTCTAGCAGAACCTAGATGGAGACTAGGTTCTTCATCTGGGTTCTTTAGATGAAGAGAAAAAAAAAAAAAAGGAAGAAGGAAAAAAGAAAAAGATAATGAATTTGTTAGAAGAGGAAGATGGAGAGACAAGAAAAAAAAGGAGTATTGAGAGGAAAATGACTTTTAAAATTAATTTATAATTTTATTATTAAAATTATTTGGTTATGTAGGGTGTACATCGGGTGTTGAACCGGAGGTGAACAAAGCATTTTCCATCCAAAAAATATATAAAAGTTGTGGCATTTCTGGTTTTTGATTATTTTTGTTTGTATTTATAAGAGTTGAATGAAGTCCAAGGTGACAGAGGAGACAACATTAATGGTAATTTTATATAGAACTTACAGACAAAGGAATTTGGACAGAAAACAAGAGGCATGTACATGTCTCAGACGTGTCCACAGTGGGGACCGTTTGCCTACGTATGTACACTTTGTATTAAGGTAGCCATGGCAGCAGTTACACCATTCCCTTCTGCTCTCTGAGCCTCTCTCTACCCCACTCTAAAACCAAACCTCCCTCTCCCTCTTTCTCTGTCACTCATCAGATCCTGCCTTCACCTTCCTCAAGAGTATGCCGGAGAACGTAACTGGAGCTTCCATCTTACCTTTGCTGGAATAGATCGCCTTTTATTTTCCCCTGGTAATTTCTGTTTTAATTTCTATTTGTCCTTTCTTTTTTTCTTCTTCTTGTCAATATTTCTTAATTTTTACATGCATTTCTTTTCTCAGATATTTTTTTACCCCCCCTCCCCCCTTTTTTTTTGAGAATTTCATTTTCTGCTTTGTTTTGAGTTGATTTGCCGGTTCATCTTGCATGTCGATGCTAGATTCCAACAACTGATTTTGCTTAATTAGCCTGTTATCTTCAATTCCTTGTTGCGGGTCTTCAAGGTGGCAAACTGCCGGAGTTGGAATGGATTCCTTAAACCATTGCTTTTCTCTCTTTAACATTTTCCAGTTGCTTGATGTGACTATAGGAAGAGCACCGACCGTCGAACTTGGGCCGAGAATAATTATCCTTCAGATCTCTAGGTTGGATCTTGACTTCTGATAAAACTTTGTTCCTAACTTCCTTACAAAGCTGGCTTAGTACCCTGAGTAATTAACTCGATAACCAACCCGGCCCAGCTCATTAACTCGGCAATTTGGGTGGCGTTCAGTTCATACCATATGGACTTTAGCTACTATTGTGAGTCTGGCCCAGCCCAATATGCAAAGTAGACGTCTTGTTTTGTGTTAATTTTTTTTCTGCCATGACTTGTTGCAGACGATTAATCTCATGCCAATTTCCTCTGTTGCAGGGAGTTTGCACCATATGTTGCATACTTGAATCTCCAAAATTACATGCTGAAGAATGGCACTCTCTGAATCAGAGACGGTAGCCTGTGGTGGCGTCAAATCAGGTTCACATGCACAGCGTCCGCAATCACCATTAGCACCTGAGGAATTTCTAACCGATCTGTCTGTGTCACCATCATTAAGCAAACAGAATTCCATTTTATCCCTCAGGCTCGATGAAATTCAACTCAAGAGTGGGAAGAGTGTTGGGTCCATGAACATGGATGAGTTCCTATCCAACTTGTGGAATAATGTGGACGAAAATTAATCATGTTTCATTTCGGGCTAACCAGATCCAGAATGAACTCATCAATGAGAAAGGCTCAGTAAATCAAACTACTTTGGCACACCAAGGCTTATTTTCCATCCCTACCCCCCAATGCAAGAAAACCATGGATGAAGTATGGTTTGAAATACAGAAAGATCTACCACAACGTCAAAAAGCTAACATCAGTGATCGTCGTGAACCACAAAGCCAGCATACTTTTGGAGAGATGACATTGGATTTTCTTGTCAAAGCAGGGATTGTTCAGGAATCATCGCCTTCTTCTCAGCAAAAGAAGGTGATTCCTCCTCAGAAGAATAATCCAAGTTTGGATTCAAAACTTTGGAATGGGGCATGTGATGGCATCTTCCCAACAAAACATGAACTTGGTAGCACCTCTTCAGAATAGAAATGTGAGTATGGATGCTAGCTTCGGAATGGGAAATGTTCTAGGGATGGGGTTCCAAGGAAACAATTTCACTACCAACGGTTATGCAGTAACCTACCAAGTGTTCCGATGGAGTAAAAAATTTTTTGGAGAGTCATTTAGTAACGTTGAAAATGGGAACCGTGCTCAGTTTTTGGTAGAGTCTAGTGCAATGCAGAACAAAAAGATGATCATTGATGGTCCCCCGAAAGTGGTTGTTGAAAGGAGACAACGTCGAATGATAAAGAATCGGGAGTCTGCGGCAAGATCTCAAGCAAGGAAACAGGTTCTTCAGAGATATGAATTCTTCCCCAATAACGTTATCACAACATGGTTAAATGATTATTAACTTGATTCAGTAGCAGGCTTACACTGTGGAGTTGGAGCTGGAATTGAATCAACTTAAAGAAGAAAATGAAAAGCTGAAGCAAATTCTGGTAAACAAACTCATATCAAAACTACCTAGCTATACGTACTACAAAAAAAATATATATATATATATATATCTTCTTATGTTTCAAAAAATTATGGTCATTTACAGCTTTTAATTTTCTCCATTTGAATTTAAAATAGGAGGAAAATGGACAAAAGAGAAAGCAAAGAGGTATGTCCCTTCTCCAATTTCAATGTAATGATTTGTAATCTAGTGGTTCATCCTCGTCGAAAAGAGAAGATTGAGGAGATAATATGCATGATATGATCCTCCTTTGACGCTTAGGCATTTTTCTCATGTATAATATTCACAGGTTCTGAAGAGAGCAAATAAGGACAGTTAGCTCCGGGTGGTGAAATCCAATTTTGTAATTTTAGTGTTAATTAACTCCAAATGTAAATAAATAAATAAATTCTGGTGTGTACT